GTAGTTTTCATTTTGGAAGATGTGTAAAAATAAGAGCTGCTTCTGTACACAGACAGAGAGCAAAAAAGCAGGAGAACAGGGAACGGGGAGAAATGCGTGCAGCTCGTTAGACAGCCAGTGAGAAAGTGGGAATGCAAACTTAACTAAACTATTTAAAGTACTTATAAGCAAAGTCAAATTATTTCTACTTTAAATTGTCATCAAATTTGTATTCTGTGTATTTTTACACGCCTTTATTTGAAGAAACCCCAGAACTTGCTGCCAAACTTGTCGTAGTTGATGAATTTCTCTTCTCTCAGTTACAATCGTTTTTTTTTTGTTTGCTTGTTTTTCCTCCTATAGAAAGTACATCTGGACCGGTCATTCTGTATTCATCCGTCTCTCCTTCTTGTCCTCTCAAACCCAGTCGGTTGAAGAAGATGGCCGCTTGTCCTGAGCCTGGTTCTGCTGGAGGTTTCTTCCTTTTAAAAAGGGAGTTTTTTCCTTTCTTGTCTCCTTGGTGCTTGCTCAGGATGGGACTGTGACGAAGCTAAGGCTCAACACAATCTGCTGCTTCCTTAAAGAACTTTACTAATTGTCTTATGTGTTTTTCAGACTATAAGGCACACTTAAAATCCTTTAATTTTCTCACAAATCGACAGTGAGCCTTATAATCTGGTGCGATTTATGTATGAAAACATACCAGTTCACTGATATTGCGCAAATTATGGTAATTAATAGTAATAATTAATATTAATTAAATTGTAAAATTTACATTTTTCACATTAGCAGTAAAAACTTTGCAGCCAACATAAAAAAAAAGTCTGTGTGGAAGTAAAACATGTCCTGTAACGTTCTCTCCAGCTGCAGAGAACCCTTCACTGCTCAGAGGTATGTGCATGGAATTGAATTGGATTAGCTTGGTTTTAGACAACAAAGTGAACGCTGCCACGTGCGCTTTTCACATTACGCTCTGGCAGATTTTTTTTTAAGTGGCAGCAACTGGCAGTGAAACTCAACTCTCTGTGTGGCGTCCACATTTAGACCAGGAAACGCCGCTGAGAGGTCCACTGCCTGTAAAGGACTGAAAGAATGGAGACTCGCTGAAAGAGCGCCAATTAAACAGATCACTGAGGTGACCCCACTGAACCACGGGGCCCCGAAGTTAATCAGGAGCGCTGCTGTGGGAAAGAAAAACCACACAAGACGCTGATCTTATTGGACATTTTTAATGGAATGTATCTTGTATGAAAATAGATCTCACATCAAAATAAGAAACTGGACAGTGGCGACAGGGGGCACAGCTGTAATTGGGTGAGGAATGATGGAAACAGGAAGGCATGTCGGAGAATCAGCGTTGACCCTGTGTGGGAGATGACAGCAGCACAGAGGCATGTGTTGGACTGGGAGACGCTCCAAGGAAACAGGAAGCAACATGAACCACAGTGAGATAAAACATGTCTGGATGGGATTACAAGCCTCCATCATAGATTGATGTCCCCGTCAATGTCACTGTGGACCTCCTTTAAACCTAATATTCAATGTATGTAGTTTCTCATGAAAAACATCATGTCTACAGTATGTTCTGCAGATCAGAGATATTTTATAAGACATCACGGAGGCTGAGCTGCTAAAGACTATGTAAGGTGACGTCTTCCACTGCTTCCTTCATCAATACAGTAAAAATGTCATAAATCAGTTTCTGAACCCCACAAAAACATGTAATTGTAGTTGATGACCCAAAGAGTTGAATGGTCTTTATTTTAAATGTTACAGTGAGGAGGTCAGCTTCAGAGACTCAAGGCCCCATGTGCAAACACATTAGATATTAAAATCAAAATCTGACATTTTGTCCTGCGTCTGCGCTCCGGTCCACAGACCAAAAATGATTTTTAGAAATGTTTTCCAAACTGGATGTTTTTTTAAAAACACAGTTTTTTTGGGGAGCAGATCTGCGAGGACTCAAGATACACACATTTTCAATCTGTTTTGGGACTTGGAAACCAAAACAACAATAAAGCTGTTTTTACCAATTTTTTTTTCTCTGCGTCAGTCTCATCATTAAACACTGATCAAAGCTAAAGTTAATATCTCAAAAAAGAAATATATCAAAAGAATATATTTTTAAGCAAACCAAGAAAATCATTTCTCTGTATTCTGACAGGTTTAAGCGAACCTTCTTGCCACTAACAACTTATTTCACAGGGGTCACCAGAACTGTATTGATGCCTGCATGTGAACGCTCATGACATTTAAGGATACAAAGTTCATTCCACAGATCTAACAAAGCTTATGATTGAAAATAATACCGTAATTTCTGGACTATAAGCCACTACTTTTTTTCACACGCTTTGAACCCCGCAGTTTATACAATCCTGAAGCTAATTTATAGATATTTTTGTTGTTGTTGACAAGCTAACGAGTTTCATGCCGCCAAGAAATTTAGCCTCGTCACACCCGGGCGCTCATATCCCTCTTGGGGGGTGGATCCACATGACTCAATGAGACTACCTGTATAAATAAAGGTTAAAAAAAATCTGACCAATGAAATTACTGGACAGGTCACAGTGGACCAATGAAATGGGGAGGAAAGATCAGGGAGTAAGGGGACTATGTTTCCCTCCTCCCTGGGGGCACAGCTAAGTATTTGCAGTCACTCAAAATAAGTGTGAACTGTGCATTAATGTGGCACTCTGAGCTCGGTGGGAGGCTTGGGCGACTGGCGGCGAGAAATCGTTCACCAAAACTGGCCACATGAGACGAACAACTTTTGTTCAAGTGTGCAGTGGATCCTGAAAGAGAAGCAGGGTAAAATAATCCTCCACCACCAACGGGTTTCAAAAGATAGCTGCGTGATGAAGAGGACAGAACAAGCTTGTGCAGGAGGAGGGTGAAGATAGTGATCAATGACTTCCTGGTAGGCTACTGTACTTATTTTTTTAACCAGCCGTGTTACAGGCACTGTTTAGGGAAAAAAAAACATTTACTGTATGTATCTGTGTTTGTTCCCGGTACATTAAAAGTTTTTAAAAATCTTTCCATGTAAATATCTCATGTTTCAATGTGGCAACCCGCGGCTTATACACAAGCACAGCCTATATATGTACAAATTTTAAAAATAATAATAATAATTTAGTGGACGCAGCTTATATTTGGGTGCGCTCAATAGGCCGGAAATTACGGTAATTTAAAAAAACTGGTCCAAACCTGCCTGTCCGCATCTCCAAAGTAAATAAATCCTAAATGTGGGGGCCCATACCAAGGTGAGTCCATAGGAGTTGATAAGAAAAATGTAAGGGACATGGCAGCAAAGTAACGGTCTAGTGCAGTGGTTACCAGTTTGGGTGGGGACCCCGCTGTGGGTCCGGAGAGCTACAAAATTCAGATTAACTTTATAAAGATTGCCAACAGCGTGTTTAGTCTAAGTCAGTGTTTCCCCTAGATAACTTGCCATGGCGGGGCGCTCATCTCGTCCATGACTTTTGTCGATGGGGGTTGGTGAGGTGGGGGGTGGAGACACGTCCCAAGTTGCGCAGCGTGCAGTTTATACTGACAGTTTTCCAGTGAGGTGGGGGAGGGGGTGTTCAGAATGAGGAAAGAGGCTGACTTTGGCTTTGTAGCTAGTGCACCCGTATTGCAAGCCGCTAGCTTAGCGTTGCGTCAGTGCCGACAGGTGTTTTGTGGGGGGAGGTGCGCACGATTCAGTAGACGGGGCGCCCCGCTTGTATAATCCATCCATCCATCCATCCATTTTCTTCCGCTTATCCGGGGTCGGGTTGTGGGGGTAGCAGCTTAAGTAGGGAGGCCCAGACTTCCCTCTCCACGGCCACTTGGGCCAGCTCCTCCAGGGGAATCCCAAGGAGTTCCCAGGCCAGCTGAGAAACATAGTCCCTCCAGCATGTCCTGGGTCTTCCTCTGGGTCTCCTCCTGGTGGGACGTGTCCGGAACACATCACCAGGGAGGTGTCCAGGAGGCATCCTAACCAGATGCCCGAGCCACCTCAACTGGCTCCTCTCGACGTGGAGAAGCAGCGGCTCTACTCTTGAGTCCCTTCCGGATGGTCGAGCTTCTCACCCTATCTCTAAGGGAGAGCCCAGACACCCTGCGGAGAAAACTTATTTCAGCCGCTTGTATCCGAGATCTCGTTCTTTCGGTCACAACCCAAAGCTCATGAGCATAGATGAGGGTAGGAACGTAGATCGACCGGTAAATTGAGAGCTTCGCCTTCTGACTCAGCTCTCTCTTCACCACGACAGACCGGTACAGCGCCCGCTTCACTGCAGACGCTGCACCTATCCACCTATTGATCTCATGCTCCATTTTTCCCTCATTCGTGAACAAGACTCCAAGATACTGTACTTGAACTCCTCCACTTGGGGCATGGACCTCCTCCCTGACCCGGAGAGGGCACTCTACCTTTTTCTGCTTGTATAATAGTAGGGGAAACACTGGTGTTCCAAAAACATAAAAGAAATGGTTACAAATGTATGAAAAGCCGTATATTGATTCATGAGTATCTGTTAAAGGGCTTATTGGTTGTGTTCTGTGAATTTTTATTTTGAGAGTCAAAAGCTAAAAAGTTTGGAAACCACTGGACTAGAAACAAGTTTTCCAAGCTGTACACACAAATACAGGCCATGATTATGAAAAGTGTGGCCACATGGCTCGCTGGTCTCAAACACAGTTCTGTGGGACAGCAACACATTTGTCCAATTTCTCCCAATATTATGTCTAACGTACTGATTTTAAGCTTAAGACTCAAACCAAAGCAAAAGATGTTTCTTCAAACGATGAAGAGCGACAGCTAATCAAACATGTAGAACATTTTTTTATACGTTGAAGCAAGTTTTTCATCATTTGCTTTATCCGTATAAATATTTAATAGTGAGGTGAGCAACAACAAAAAACGTATCAAATGAGTCTTTGGCTCTGTTGAGAAATGAAAACATGGACACATTTGATCAGTTCTAAACGGGCCTGATTAACCCACAACAACAACCCCAAGATAAGTGACCTCTCAGTAAACACGGGAACGTTTACGAACGTTTGCTAACGGTTGTGGAAAGGACCGCTCCACGGGCGTCGCCGGCACGTCTCCGAAGTTACCGGCTCCGTAACCTTTAAGGAACCTCCGGGCAACGTTCCTGTTTCTACTGGGTGTTTTCAGGTGACTTGTAGGCGATGAAGCGCAGACCACGAACTTCCTGTTCCGCTCAAACAACATCCATACGGAACATTCATCAACGACGGAACATTTTTATAAAAAATATATTTACACGTCGAATAAATAGGAGACAAACCCATCGCGCGGTAGAATACGGTTGTTTTCTCACATGCTTTTAGTCCATCAGTCTTTTGTGAAGTGTCTGTTTTGATTGACAAGAGGCAGCGACCTGGTCTGTGGAGCCCACAACAAGTCCGGGGTCTTCTCGTGAAGGACGGAGCAGCAGCAGGGCGGAGATGATACCCGGGGTCATGTTCTTCCTCAGCCGAGTGTCAAATTCACCTGCGGATGCAGTCAGTTAGACGGGTGCACAAACATCTAAAAACAATGAAACACAACAATGTTTTTGTATGCGTCTGTAAGTCTGTTAGCAAAATATCTCATGAACTACAGGGTGGACTTAACGTTCAGAAAGTCACCAGTGGATAAACGGCTTGAACTGATTAACTTGTGGAGCCAATTTAATTTATGATGGCGGCCACAGCCAACTCTACTTAGAAAACACTCAAGTGGCTATAACTCAGTCAACCTTAGAGATATTGAACTAACACTGGGTGTAGCTGAAGGTCACGCAACACAGTTCAACGATCTTTGCCTAAAACTGTTGGAGTCAATGCTGCTTGTCTGTTAGCAAAATATCTCATGAACCAAAGAATGAAAGGCTTCAGTTAGTCAGATTGGATGTGGTAGCTGAGAGTAATCTCTAACACACACTCAGAGATAAAACATCTCACAGCGCTGGGTGGTAGGAACATTATTGGCATTTACAAAGTTTGACCTAAACAGATACTGTTACGACTGTCGAAGACTTTTGTGTGTGAATTAGTGTCCAGGTACTCTGCTGTGATCGGAGGACACAGAGGAGATAATCGGTGATTGGCTGCCTGACGAGAGGAGCTGTGGAAGTGATGACGTCAGCTTCCTCTCACTCTGCGCTAGGAATGTGCGATATATACGGTACATGGTAGAAACAGTAGACATTTAGCCCATGATAGAGATCTGTCTTCTACCGGCTAACTGCAGTAATGCTGTGTCTGATGTCAAATCAGAGTTGTAACTTTTAATCGTAACTTTTTTTAGTTGAAAACTGTGCGTAAGTGGAGTTAAAGTCCTTTCTTCAAGAGCTAAGTAGCGAAGCTACAAGCTAACTACGGCTAGCTTGCCGTACTCGTATTCGGACACGTGCAAAATGCTGTGTTCCGTTGAAAGCTTCTTTTTTTTTTTTTTTGTCAAAAGTTCGTTGTTCAACTTTAGAGAGTGCATTTGAGCCTCCAAAAAATGGGGTTAAACCTGCTCTCTGATCTGTAAAAGAACGCCGTGTTGCATGATTTTACTGCGAGACACTCTGGTCAAAGCCACAGAGGAAACTGGTCGCCATTTTGTGTCAGCTCTCTTTAAAAGCGGAAGGAGACGCCCACTAGAGGGTTGGAGGGTGAAGTGTTTTCAATGCTGCTCTGTTGCTGACTGGAAACTGCTCAGTTACCAACATATCCTTTTGTTTAAAACATATGGCTAAAACTACATTTGATATATTTTGCACTGTTTTGCACTACAAGAAAGAAGCCTAATACTTGATTTGTTTTTTTATTTAAAAACTCTCTGGACCTAGTAGTGGAATCTTCTTAATTGAGATTATTTTGTGGTATAACAGTTTTCAAAATAAATGATGGCAAAATGACACCCTATGCTTTTTTTTCATTCCTATTGAAAGTTTTATACCAAAAACATATCGTGATATATATCATTACCGCCACCCATCACAATACAGATCGTGATATGAATTTTATGCCATATCGCACATCCCTACTCTGTGCTTCCCAACCAGCCACAGCTGACCTGCTGTCACTGGTTAATGTTGGATAATTAGTTAATAGTTTTGTGAGGAGTTTGTAGCTTTATTTGAACTTTTATTCTGTTTTTTGTTATCTTAGTGAGATAAGAGACCTGTGTTTTGGTTATTTTTGTTTCTTCAGGTAAGAGAAAAAAATGCGGCGGCATGGTGGCTCAGTTGGTAGAGCTGTTGCCAAGGCCTGTCATGATAACAAATTTTGCTGGGTGATTAATTGTCTCAGAAATTATTGCAATAAACAATAATATTGTTTGAAATTTGACAATCATTACTATTGTAAATTTAAAAAGAAATGTTGGTTAATTTTTGTGTGTAGTTCCTTTTGTTGACCACTGGATGACAGTATAAGACTGTTTGAACTGAAGGATGGATAGTAAGGGAGCAAGCAGCGTGTCTCTAAGAAAAATGGGAGGGAGGCCCCTTGACATGACATGGGCTGTCTCTCGTTCCCGTTTGTCGGTTCTCAAAATGGCAGATGCTCGGTGTGGTTTGAGCTCTTTAGCATAGCAGTTTTCATGAGTTTCAACTGTGAATTTTGGAGCTTCGACAAGACAGGTTCTTTTCCCCGAGGTCAACCTGTTAGCTTAGTTCGTAGCTTAGCTTCTCAATGTAGCTGCTTTTAATGATCCAAAAACGTGATTTTTGGACAGTTAAAACAGATTTTAAAGAGAAAATATAAAGGGAGGGGTCAATGAAGAGCACCGGAGTTGAACCTTTTGTCATCCAGTGTCTTCAGTAGAGATACAAAGAAACGATAAAGCTGATAAATGAAAATGAGGTTGATAATTTTCATTTATCATGCGATTAATTGATTTATTGTTTATCGTGACAGGCCTACTGTTGCCTCTCAGCGGGAAGGTCACTGGTTCAAATCCCAGCCGAGGGGCCTTTCTGGGTGGATTTTGTATGTTCTCTCTGTGCCGTGTGGGTTTTCTCCAGGTACTCTGGTTTCCTCCCACAGACCAAAAACATGTATGTTAGACTGATTGGTAACTAAATTGTCTCTAGGTGTGAGTGAGAGAGTGAATGGTTGTTTGTCTGGTTTGTCTCTATGTGTCCCTGTGATGGACTGGAGACCTGTCCATCCCCCACCTCTCACACAGTGACTGTTGGACATGGGCACCAGTGACCCCCATGACCTGAAAAGGAAGAAGTAGGTAAAGATGATGGATGGATGCAGAAGGTGATAGTTTGATGTGTTTGTTGTTTTGGTCTGGGCTCACCCTGAAGTTGGTCAGACTCCAATAAGTCAGTAATGTCCCCACTGTAAATAAATCACAGTTCTGTCATACACACTCGACTCCGTGGCAGCTTGAGTGGTGCAGGAGGTGAGACATATTTAGTTACGTCCTGGCGGCTGTTGTTGCTCCGAGCTGTAACAGATCCAGCTCCGTCATTTTCCAAATGGGCCGATGTAAAAGTGAGAGTGTGTATGAACGACGCTCTAATTCCCTGTTTTTCAGCAATTAAAAAGCACCGTGACTGAGCAAGACTGAATAATGCACGTTGTGTGCTGAAAGCTCGGGGTGACGACGTCTCGGTGAGCCACGTGGACAGAAACGAGAGTGCAGCGGCGTCAGGTTTGCAGAAGAGCTTCCACCTCATTACCTCATGGAGGCTCTGATGGCAGACATCACAGGACACATTTAGCTAACAGGACAAGCTGAGCTCCAGTCACACCCACAGCTGTGCCTAGTTTGGACAACGGGGTCATTACTTCACTTCACCTTTCCTTTGTAAACATGGGCACTAATTTCAGAACGTTAGGATGGATCCATTTTTAATTTCACATCAATGTTTCTGACCAATCTACAAATGTCCTTCAAACATACATTTCCTTTATGACACAGACTGAGGCTAAAACCATCAAATGAAAGGCGAAGAAGTGCAGAAGCAAAAATTAGCTAAACAAAAGCCGAAACCTTAACTCATCTGAACAATAACTACAAGCTAAAACCAGCAGAACAGTAGCTAAATGCTAAAACAAACAGAACAGTAGTTAAAAGCTAAACAAGCAGAACAGTAGCTAAAGGTTAAAACTAGCTGAACAGCAGCTTAAAGCTAAACTAGCAGAACAGTAGCTAAAGACTAAAACTAATAGTACAGTAGCTAAAAGCTAAACCAGCAGAACAGTAGTTAAAGGCTAAAACTAGCAGAACAGTAGCTAAAATCTAAACCAGCAGATCAGTAGCTAAAAGCTAAACCAGCAGAACAATAGCTAAAGGCTAAAATTAGTAGTACAGTAACTAAAAGCTAAACCAACAGAAAAGTAGCTAAAGGCTAAAACTAGCAGAACAGTAGCTAAAGGCTAAAATTAGAAGTACAGTAGCTAAAAGCTAAACTAGCACAACAGTAGCTAAAGGCTAAAATTAGTAGTACAGTAGCTAAACCAGCACAACAGTAGCCAAAGGCCATAACTAGCTGAACAGCAGCTACAAGCTAAACCAACAGAACAGTAGCTAAAAGTTAAAAATAGCTGAACCGCAGCTAAAAGCTAAACCAGCAGAACAGTAGCTAAAGGCTAAAACTAGCAGAACAGTAGCTAAAAGCTAAACCAACAGAACAATAGCTTAAAGCTAAAAATAGCAGGCCAGTGTCCAGCAAAATGGTAGCTAAAGGCTAAAACTAGCAAGAAAGTGGCTAAAAAAATAAAATTAACAAAGCAGTAGCTAACAGCAAAACAATAGCTAAAACCAGCACAACTGTAGCTAAAATCTAAAAATGAAGGAGGTACTCTGAAGGTTTTGATTCAAAGTATTGTAAAGATTTGAAAAGATCTCAGCGCATTTTTAGAAGGAAAAAAAA